GTCGTCCGTTTGGGCCGTTGGGCACCGGCCTGAGGGGGCCTCTTCAGCCGGAGCGGGATCTGCGCCTCGCCGGTGGCCGGAGGCTCCCCTGGCGACGCACAGCTACCCTGGAGACCCACCCGCGTGGAAAGCGGTTTCTGCCCTTGTTTCGCTTTCTTTTACCCCGCCTCCGCCGCACCCCTTCTCGGTCTTTGATGCTTCTTGTTGTGATGGGAGTCTGGTCGGAAAGCTGCGAAAGCGCTTGGTGATCTCCTTCCTTGTTTGTGGTCCCTCTGTCCTCAGTGTTGAGGGAGCGAGGTGCTGCTTCTGACCGTTTGGCAAATATTGGCCCTAACGGGCACCCCAATGGATGAGGTGTCCTCTGTCCAAGTATTTTCTGATAGTGGAAACAGCAGTCGTGGTATTAACTGTAGCCTGTACCGTGTCATGTGAGAGATCTTAATGAGAAGATCTTGGTACCTAACTAAGGTGAGCGAGGAGTAAGAAACCAGGCCCTCTTAGTGGCCGTGCCCTGCTGCACCGGTGGCCTCACAGACTACACCTCCTTCTCCATCGGCCTCTGTTTCTTCACTGATGGTGACATGTAATTTTGGAAGTTGTTTGGCGGTTGCACATGAGGTTGTGTGGCATCTCCATAAGCCGTACCAGGCAAAGCAAACCTGACATTTCCAATCACCAGCTTTTAGGCTTCTACAGTCTTTCTGGTTAAACGTATCTGTTGGTTTAAGCCATGAACAGCTCAACAGTGGTAAAGACAGTTTTTCTCCAGTTTACTTCTTGAAGAAATAATGTTGGATCTGAGATGCAAACGGGAAAAGTCCCGGTTCTGACTAGAAACTCCAAACAGGCTAAATTCAGTGTATGTTTTTGCATGAGTTTGTCTCATGAGTGAGTATTATATGTGGCACCATTGTTTGTGTTTCTTGATTCCAGTTCCAAACTAACTTTTTGAAGAGCAGAGTCTGGAATGAAAATCAGAAGGACAATCAAAATTTTAATGATACTCTGCCTTCATCAGTTCTGCCGCAATAGTACTGTGCCTTTTGTCATGCCTACATCTGCTTTATACACAGAATCATAGAATTGTTTGGTTGGAAAAGACTAAGATCACAGAGTACAACCATAAACCAAACATTCCAACTCCACCACTAAACCATGTCCCTAAGCATCACATCTACCCATCTTTTAAATACCTCCAGGGATGGTGACACAACCACTTCCATGGACAGCCTGTTCCAGTGCTTGACAACCCTTTTGGTGGAGAAATTTTTCCTCACACCCAATCCGAATCTCTCTTGTCACTACTTGAAGACATCTCCTCTTGTCCTACCGCTTGTTACTTGGCAGAAGAGACCAAAACCCACTTCACTACAACCCCCTTCCAGGCAGTTGTAGAGGGTGATAAGGTCTCCCCTCGGCCTCCTCCAGGCTAAACAACCCCAGTTCCCCCAGCCGTCCTCATCAGACTTCTGCTCCAGACCCCTCACCAGCTTTGTTGCCCTTCTCTGGACACACTCCAGCCCCTCAATGTCCTTCTTGTAGTGAGGGGCCTCAAATTGAACACAGTATTCGAGGTGTGGCCTCACCAGTGTCCAGCACAGGGGGATGATCACTTCCCTACTCCTGCTGGCTGATACAAGCCAGGATGCTGTTGGCCTTCTTGGCTACCTGGGCACTCTGCTGGCTCATATTCAGCCATCTGTCAACCAACACCCCCAGGTCCTTCTCTACTGGGCAGCTTTCCAGCCACTCTTCCCCAAGCCTGCAGCTTTGCATGGGGTTGCTGTGACCCAAGTGCAGGACCCAGCACTTGGCCTTGTTGAACTTCATACAATTAGCCTCACCCCATCAATCCAGCCTGTCCAGGTCTCTCTGCAGAGCCCTCTTCCCCTCAAGCAGATCAACACACCTACCCAACTTGGTATCATCTGTAAACTTACTGTGGGTGCCCTCGATCACCTCATCCAGGTCATTGATAAAGACGTTAAACAGAACTGGCCCCAATACCAAGCCCTGGGGAGCACCACTTGTGACCGGCTGCCAACTAAACTCAACTGAGTGACTGGCAAAAGGGCCAGAAAAACCTTGAAAAACATTTCCAAGGAACCCTTTCATAAAAGCTGTAGCAGAAGATCCAGTGGATCAGGTTCCCTTTTTATAGGTCCCCAGCTAGTGGCTACAGGGAACTGTTTAGATCCATGCAGTCACTGCTGAGTAAGCTTATTTTCTAAACTTCCTACAGTAAAATTGCAGTTTGCCATACC